CCAAAGTTAATAAAATTTTCAAAAATTTTAGTAACAATACCATGATTGCCAAGCTGCCAATTACTTAAAGCTGTATCATATAGGTTTTGCTAGGGTAAATCATATTATTAATCACATTTATATTAATATTACTATATTGGATGCACAAGAGGTCTTATTTTACTTATTTGATATACAAGGGGTTTTATTTTCTATTTTTATTTCATTTATTTTATTATGTTTACATTTACTATATCATTATGCATATGTCTTCCGAAAGGTTAAGCCTTATATAAATATATATATATAATTTATATATTTTTATTTTATTTATTATTTTGAAAAAGGTTATAATAATGAAAATGTATTTAAGAATGCTCTTTTGACCTTTAATAAAAATTAACTAATAATTTTACAACTATAAAATTATCTTATTTATGCCTAAAAGTCTTAATAAAAAGATTTTATTTTTGACTTTTACATAAAATTCTTTAAATTATAATGATATCTTATTTATTGTTGATACTATTATCATTATTAGAATTTAATAATTCTCTATAAAAAGCTTTATTGTTTTTATAATTTTTTCTAAAGTATTGTAAAAATTAATAAATTTCTTTAATTTATTTTATATTAAAATTAAAATTTATTTTGTTTTTTAATATATTTTGAATTTTATAAAAAAATTTTTAATATGAATTATATTATTTTCAGAATTAAGAATTGTTATATATATTAATATTATAAAAATAATATATTCTTTAAAAAATTTTTCATTAAGCTATATTTTTTTAAAAATTTGTATTATATACATATTATTTTTTTTATTGTTTTTGAAAAAATTCTTATAGCACTCTGTAGTCTTTTATAATTTTTTTCATATTGTAATATTAACAAAGTTAATATTTGTGTTAATATAAATTTGTCAAATATTAAAAATATTATATCTTGAGTTTTTAAGATCAAAAAATTCCAATTAGAATAATATTGTTTTAAAAGCTATAAAAAATCTTTTTTAAGTTAACTTTTATATTTCAAAATATTTTAAAAAATTTTAAAATATATAGCTTGATAAATATACTGTATTTTTAAAATTTTATAGTAAATAAATAAATATTTGTCCAAAGACTTTTTAGACAAACTGTATATCTTGTTATATGTGAAATAAATAAAAAAAATAATATTTATCTACTTAAAAAAAAAAAATAATAATAATATATTTTATTTTAAAAATTTGATTCTGTATAAAACATCTGATTTTTACTTTTCAACCAATAAATATTTGAGTAAAGCCTTATTTGGCATTTAAAAAAAAAATGGTTTTGATAATACTTTGATTTTGCAAATATTTATTTATTCTTTTTACATAAAAAAATTATTTTTATATACGTGATCTTATAATATTTAAAAAATAATATTTTGATAGATACAGTAGATACAGTATATTTCTAACTTAATTTCGAGAAATGAATGCAGTACATTAGTATTAAATTGAAATAGCCACGTTGATTTACAATTATTTAATCTTGTACTTCAGATGATAAGTAAACAGCGCACTTAATTATATGAATTTTACGATAATGTGTTAGAAACCCATGATGGTGAGATAATATATAGTAGTAATAACTTTCGACTGTAAAATGGCAATCAGCAGGGCACTCGTATCAATAACGTAGACGCAGATAAGGGATAGATAGAGAACGGGAAGATTATCTCCCGATCTGGATTGCAGGGTGTTGTTGATATACAACGGCACACCGAAATTTGGTATGTCTTGCTCGTGCTTAAGAAATAAATTTTCATAAAAAAAAAAAAAAGTGACAATCAAGCCGACACATCACGCCAAACATTTATTATGTGTATGTTAGGAAAATTTCGATCCACATACACCAGTTACGCATAAATACAAACGAGTTAATCGACACCCTTTTGAAAGTTTTCACACGTTCTCATTCTTGGGAAACCAAGTGGATAGCTTCAGTGGTAAATTCTATTTTTAGACGATCAAACAAGTTTGCATGAGAAACTATTTGGTGTCGGATTGACATTCTGCATTGTTCTATGCGTTGCAGGAGATAAGTATGCATTTCATATTTTCCGCTTGATTATCTCTTATCTATTATGTGCCAACCAGAATGCATCTCGTAAGTTCATGTTCGAAACTCAAACAGTTACTGATGTTCAAAATAAAATGATTATATCAGTTTATTTTAATTTACTTCTAAATTTTTCCGCTTAATTCTTCACCCCACATTTTAATGACAGTATATTTACTCATTAAACGTCACCAAACAGGTAACTAGGTTAACGAAAATTGCCTTACACAGAAAAACAAGCAAACAAGTGTCTTATCGGAATATATTCCCTCTATGGTATTCCTTGCCGCCCGGCGATAATGATCTTGTGTTAATTATTTATGGTGTGCATAGTCGACCAATGTAATTTTGTTAAGGTCCTCGCGACGCACGTTTTGATATTCAACTCGTTAAGACACTTGTGTTATGATGATTTTTTTAATCGTACCACATTCAATTTAGACTCTTAATTTGGTCATTGTGTCAAATTAAGCCTAAACTTAAATTTGCAACGATGTTCTATAGTAGATCCAATCCACATGTTGGACTGAGTGCGTGCTGAAGGTATTGGACAGTTTTGCATGCCGTAAGGTTGCTCTGCATTAATTAAATTTTTTAAAAATTCGATTTCCTACGTACAACCTTATCATCTTTTTATTCAGATCTAAGGTTTTTTTAATGTTAGAAACTGATACTCTTTTGGAACATATGTGAAATTACAGTACATTCTATTTTAGGCAGTCGAAACTATTGACAAATTATCCATCCTAACAGGTTATCTTCAACTGTTAGATTAATTTTTTTCCAACGGTCCCGGTAATATTCGATATCCGTAGAAATCGCTAACGCTTAAATACCCGAGCTTTCTTATTCATCGTACTTTGTCCTTCTGTGCCTTAGAGGTCCTTTGGTTCGATTTCTTTGAACTCCATTTATTTTTTATTTTTATTCTATTCTTCCCACAAGCACTTTCTTCGCTCATTGGTGCTTGTTATATCGTCTTTATTTTCCCTTTCGTTTCTACTCTCCTCGTATTTATTTTATCCTTCGGTCACTTTTGTACCACTGCTTTACGCGTTTACATCGCTATGAAGGTATTTTCTCAACATATGCATAAAATTGTCGAATACTTACCGCTTTGAATTTCGATTTGCTTTTCCATGATTTGACGTGTTCGTTTCATTCTTCAATCAAAAAAACAGTTTGGGAAGCAGATCCTGAATCAACAGACCACAGAATGGGCCTCCCACTATGTCAACTATAAGGCATTGAAGAAAATAATCAATAGCCTGCAAAGTGCTTACCAAAGTAATGAACGATCGTTACCTCACACTCCCGCCGCCGTCGGAACTTCACGAACTCCTAATGCCGATGCTCTGCAAGCTAATAATTATCCCGAATTTCTACAACAACAGAAAGCTGCCTTCTTTTTCAAACTTGAACGTGAATTGGAAAAAGTAATTAATCAATTGATATCTCCTATAACTTATGTCCTTATTAATTATTCTCGGCTAATTGAAGCTTGTTTGATATTTCGCGTCCTGTAAAATTGATTTCAGGTAAACGCTTTCTACCTCCAAAAAGAAAAAGAATTTAAAGTTAGATTACGCACTTTGAATGACAAGAAAAGAATCTTACTAGGTAATGAAAGAAAAATTTCTAGTGCGTCGGCATCTCTGATCACTTTAACAGAGGCATTTCAAAAATTTCAGCAGGATCTCAACAAGTTGCAGGTAAACCATCGCTTTCTTCATTTTGCATTTCCTCTATATATGTGATCCAAATCGATTGACCCTTTTGATCTTAGCAATTCGTGGAAATAAATGCAACCGGGTTTCGTAAAATATTGAAGAAATGGGATAAACGTTCCAAATCCAGGACAAAGGAGCTTTATCTTTCCCGTCAAGTAGAAATTCAACCTTTTTTCAATCGAGATATTATCGCTGAACTGGCAGATAATGTTGATAATAATTTGTCAGAACTTCGAACCCTTATCCACGGTCTATCTTCCACTACCTCGTCATCTACGCCCACTTCTCCTGAACGAAAATTGTCAATCAGCGAACTAGGGGAACCTGATGTAATGAATGACATTGAAGCTGAACTTTTCAAATCCATTATGAAAGGCGCTACATCAACGGTGCAAGAGGTATTGGATAATATTCGGCAACGTCCTAGTGATGATGATAAAGATCTATTGTCTCGTGTATTCTGGCGTGCATGTTCTGAAGAAAACTCCTCAATCGAATCCTTACACTGCTTAGTCGACACTAATATGGTTAACTTTAAATACGTTGATGACATCAGTGATCGAACGTGTTTACACGAATCTTCCATCGTCGGGCGACTACCACTTATGAAAATTTGCGTTGAACATAATGTTAAAGTGAACTGTTCTGATGTCTATGGTCGAAGACCGTTACATTACGTTTGCATGTACGGTCATAATGAGGCGGCTACATATCTATTGTCCAAAGGCGCAGACTGTGAATGTTTTGACCATGATGGATTCAGCCCTTTAATCTATGCCATTACAAACGGGAATACTGAATGTGTAGAGATTTTGCTTAAGAAAGGTGCCCTCATCGAACCACAAAATGAAAGAGATCACAACCACATCCCATTATCATTGGCATGCCAATATGGACACAAAGACATAGCATTGTTGTTGCTCGACAAGGGTGCACGTATTATTCCTGATGCAGATGGACTTTACCCTTTGCATTTGACGTCTCGTGAGGGTCATCATGAACTATCAAAAATTCTAACGAGATACGGCGTTTTCTTAGATACACCTGATAATGAAGGATGGTCACCTATATTTTATGCTGCTAGCGAAGGTCACATTGAGTGCGTTGATGTGTTGATCCAAGCTGGCTGTCAGGTGAATATAACAGATGAGTCAGGTCGTTCCCCGATCTATTATGCTGCATGGGAAGGACACATAGAATGTATTAATAAATTGCACCTAGCTGGTGGACGCGTGGAAACTGTTGAACCAAGAGATGAACCAATGACAGATCGCCTTGAGGATCCTGTCGTAGAAAGTAACGTCGATCCAATACCCTCTTTGACTCTACCACCGCCTATCATACCTCTTCCAATTTACGGGCACAATTACCTCGATAAAAAATATCACATACAGATTACTCTTGGGCACCCTTCCACAAAACCTCAAAGGCCACCGGTGCTTCTGTACGGCAACAGTCACATCTCATCCTTAAAACTCCTAATCACCCCAAATCCAGGCATGGGAATGATTCCTCTCAGCATAATATTACCCCTAGGTGATGATCGAGAAGTTTTCTCTTTCCAAGCGGATTCTTTGGAAAACTTTTCGTTGGATTTTGATATCTTTCCTACTTTCGGCTCAAAAGTTATTGGAAAAGGTGTTGCGTTGTCACACGTTTTTGACATCCCAAATGGTCGTGGAAGAAGAAATAACTTAGTTACAGGAGGTACAGGAGGAAAGTACATTTGCCCTTTATTGGATACTCACTTGAAGGTTGTCGGAGAACTGTCGTTCGAGTTTGCAATTGTGAAACCCTTTCAAGGTGTACGACTAGAAATCGGAGGTCAGGTGGAAACGTATTGGAAATCGCTACCTGAACAACCTTTAAATGTCAGCGGAAACATACCATCCTTTATAACAGCCTCTTCTTTGTCGGGTGAATATATCCAAATAGTTGTGCAGGTGACACGAGATATGATAGCCGTCGTATACCCCGAATGGATGTTGCCTGTGAATGGATTTGATTTAAGCGTATCAGACGTCACATATAAACAATTCGAGTCAATAAATCGTGATCACGAAGAAAAGTTTGATTTTAGTAATGCTGCAAGTTCTGCTGAATTACAAAAAATGATCCACCAAGCTTATCTTTCTTTGGAGGAGGTTCTGGCGGTCCGTAGGTTTCTTACCTCGTTTTCATCAACATCTTTACCTATCTACTTAACTTTTTATACCTTTCCCGATGTATAGAAACTACCGCCATCCATTGGAGTGAACCTTGAAATTAAATATCCGACAGTTTACGAAATGTCCCGGTACTGGTTTTCCGACGTACCCGATATAAATAGTTATGTAGACACTATCCTACAGACTGTTTACGATCACGTGCAAAATCAGATAGCCAGTAATACGCCGGGAGTATCGAATAATAAATCCACCAATCGATCCGTAACGTTTTCTTCATTTAATCCCGCGATTTGTACCGTTCTGAATTGGAAACAACCGAACTGTAAGTGTTAAGGTCAACTTCCTGTGCATTCACTGCCTATTGACAGTATGGTTGGCAAAATCGAATTAAATCGATATTATTATTAAACTTCAAAGACGCAGTATTTTTCAATTCATTTTGCGGATTCGAAAATGAAAACTTCAATCGCGGTAAAAAACGTAAAGAACGAGATGGAAACATTAACGAAGATGCGACATACGAAGAAATCGAACGAGATAAACGTTGTACTTCTATCAAAGAAGCCGTTAAGTTCGCTAAAATCAACAACCTTTTGGGCGTGATCTGCGAAGCAACATTGTTGGTGAGTTAAAAAAAAACAAAATTGGAAGAATTAAATGTCCCCCGCAATTAACAACTCCTCATTGCTTATCAGGTTCGCGTTCCGTCCTTAATAACGAGCATTAAACAGGCCGGACTGATATTGACCACGTTCGGAACCGCAAATAACGATTCACGTAATATACGAATACAAGAAAGATACGGTGTTGATGCTGTTGTAATTGAAGGTGTCATCAAATACAATAGTGTCGACGCGTTCTAAATAATTAAAAAAATCTTAAATTAAAACTCTCACTAATAATTATACAAGATAAACCTTTGTTTAAGAATTAAGCGGCTTACCAATTATTTCCCTCATCCAAAAACTGTTAATATGTAATCATATGTAGATATAAAGAAAAATTCGAGATATAGAAATCAAAAGTATAAACTAAATTTTTTTTTTTTATTTTTTATAATAAACGAGAAGTTACTGCACAAACAAAACCAAAATTTTCGTGTTGCGTTCTCAGTTGTGTCAAAATTCAGCGCGTAAATCTGTCATTCAACCCTTCATGGAGAAATAAATTTGGAACTGTAAATAAAAAAGGATGAAAGACTTCGTTAATTGCATGTATTTATATTACTCTATGCTTGCACAAGTTGTTGTACCTAATTTCCATAATTATGATGGATTCACACTCGTCCATACCACTTTCAAATCGTGAGCTACTAAATCACGTGCTAATCCAAAATGCGTGATATGATCAATTGCCTATTTGGAAAATAAATTAATAATTTCGAAACATAGAGTAGGACTAAAACGTATTTGGCGGCTGAAATTAGAAATTAAAGTCATTAATTATCACGTGTTCAGACCTTACTTCTCTCTGTTGCACGTCTAAATAATCTAATGCCGAAACACGAATTTCTGACACCAAAGGCTATAGCAAACAGGATTAAGGTTTGCACAAGTGTCTTTTACCTCCTTTAATTCATTTTACCAATATTGATCCACCTTAAAATTAGGCGAAAGGCCTTCAAAAGTTGAAATGGTACTGCCAAATGTGTGAAAAACAATGTCGGGATGAAAATGGTTATCAGGTTAGCGCTTTACATAGATGTTTTTAAATGTACTTGAAATCCATGCTCATTATTCCTATTAATTTTATAGTGTCACATTCGTTCGGAATCACACCTTCGCCAAATGGATCTCCTGAAAGAAAACCCTACGATGTACATACAAGGATATTCAAAGCAATTTCATGATGATTTTGTTAAATTGCTTTCCCGAAGGTGATTTGAGTTTTTTTAATTATCTGTAAGAATGGTTCAGGTCATTCTAGTTTATTCCTAAACCTATAATCGTAAAATTTTCAAGGTGGGGTACCAAAAGAGTTTTCGCAAACCTTGTCTACCAAGAATACATTTCTGATAGAAATCACATACATATGAATGGTACAATATGGGTGTCTCTGACAGAATATGTAAAATATCTTGGAAAAGAGGGCATTTGCAATGTGGATGAAACGCCCAAAGGGTGGTACATCAGTTGGGTTGACAATAGTCCAAAAGCTTTGGCCAGACAGGTAATCTCTCATAAGATCACTCGAAATTCGATTTGTTTAATCTTGTTTCATTAGGCGTTTAAATATTTAATCCGTTTATTAAAAACTGTTAAGGAAGCGATTATGAAGAAGGAACGAGCAGAGAAGGATGAAGAGGAAAGGACTCGGAAGTTAATAGAAGAACAAATCGAAAGGGCTCGGGGAGAAGCTAAGGAATCGGTGTTGGATGATACGGTATCGTCTTTGGCAACCTTTGTTTTTCCTAGAAAAAGTTTTTGAATTTTCATTTAACAGGATTTTTTTTAACAGAAATTCACTGAACTCAAAAGAGATAATGAAGAAGATAAGATAAAACTTAATATTTCTCTTGCTAAATCCGAAACACCCATTTCAACTTCTGCGACGTCCCCCACGTCTTCAGCCACCGCATCTACTACTAATGCTTCTGCTGCCTCAACAACTCATACTAGCATCTCTTTCAATAAACCTATTTCACAAAAGGTGTCATTAAGTGCTTTGGTAAAAAAATCTAATGCTTTAATGCCACCGAAAAAAGAAAAAGAAAAAGAAAAAGATCTGCCAAAAAAATTGAGTGCAATGGAACAAATTATTTTAGATGAAACAGAAAGGAAGAAAAGATCGGAAAATCTGAATGGGAACGGAAATGGGAATAAACCCAACTTTAGAAGAAAGGATGAGCAAAAGAGTAGAGATTATAAAGACAGGGATAATCGAAGAGATTACAGAGAAAGGGATAGGATTGATAGAGAAAAGGAGCGAGATTATAGAGAAAAGGAGCGGGATTATAGAGAAAAGGATCGAGATTACAAAGAAAAGGATCGAGATTACAGAGAAAAAGATAGAAAGCATAGAGAAAGAGGCAGAGATAGATCGTATGACAGATCACATGATCGAGAATCTAAGAGGTTACGAAGAGATTGATAGGTAAAAGTTTTGCTGACTTTATTCCTCTTTCATTAGGAACGATTTCATTATACTATCAACCTATCAATATTGAATTCTTGGTTCGTATTGCATCGTTATATGAAATTTCTGTTTCTTTATTTGACAATGTAATAAAATATTAGTAAACTTGGGTCTGTTTAACCGAAGATTTTTTTAACATTATAACCAATTTTTGTAGAATTTTTTTAAAGGTATTTTATAAATACGATACTTTAACACCATAAAAATAATTACGTTTCTAGCGTGGTGGATATTAATACATATATTGTATCTATATGTACTGTATATAAAATAGTTTCCACTGGAATAAGTTAATTTTATTTTTGTAATGACAAGACTAAAAAAAAATAAAGAATAATTCCATAAAATTTATAATAAATATTTGATTATAAATATTTAATATGCTATGATTTTTTTTTTAAGGAATAATGATTAAAAAAGGATTATCGAAAAATCCTACAACTTTTTTCAAACAAATTATCATTAAAATATTAAATGTCTTAAAGGTTCAATATTTCAACTAAAATAAAACTTACCAATACTTTTGATATTTCAGTATTAGAATATAAAATTAAAATAATAAATTTAATTTCGGTAAAATCTTAAGTAAAATTTTTTTTTGAGATTGTAATAAACCAAATTTTATAAAGTGTTGGGAAAAATATTTAAAGGAAAAAAATTTAATAAATCTGCATTTAAAGATTTTTTTATATTGTAATAAATTATTTTTATATATACAGTCAAACCTTGTTATACCAAAGGACTAGGTAAAAACCCACTATACCAAAGGTAAGCACAGAAACATCTATAGCAACTTTAATCCATTATATTGAATTTATTAATTGAATCTCATTATATCAAATTTCTTAAATTTTTTATAATAAAGTTTGACTATATTAGATTCTTTTTGTTAATTTTAAACCAAAAATTCTTAAATAAAGTATATGTTATATATTCTTTTGTCAATTTAAAAATATATTTATATATTTTTAATAATAAAATTTACTATATGGATAATTATTTTTGAAGGTTACAAAAATGCTAGATATGATTTTTTCAGACCCAGATTTTAAACAATACATATATAATATAAATTTTAGGATCACATCAGAAAATAATTACCTATATATATGAATTTTTTAATAAAACAAATAATAATCAAAATTTTAATTCAAATTAATTTAATTTATAAATTGAATTTAAATTAAATTAATTTTTGAATTTTATGATTTGATAAAAATTTAACTAATTCAAATTAAATTAATTTTCATAATTGAATTCAGATTTAATTAAATAAGTTTATAAAATTTTTTAAAACCTGTAAATCCATAGTATAATGGATAGTAATCCCAAGTTTTTATATACATGTTCCTAGTTCAATACTATAGTCCTGATAATTAAAATTAAACAGACTCATATAGACTCACATGAGATTTGAAGCATTATTAAAAATGAAGGTAAGTTATAACTAAGGATCCTAATGATTCTCTTTGATTTTGTATTCAATTCTCAAGTTTATATTAAATTTAACAGATGGAATATACTCTATTATCATTTTTAATAGTGTTTCAAATCTTATATAATTTCTTGTGATTCTATTTGATTCCAATTTTTAGAATTATAATTATAATTCATATAGTAAATTTAATATAAACTTGAGAATCAAAAATCAAATTGAATTGAATCATTAGGATTCTTATTCAATATCCATAAAAGGCAAAAAGTATAAAAATCATTTAATTAGATTTTCAATTCTTAATTATATTATATTAATATTTGAATAGTGATAAAAGCTGACAAAAATTTATTGGCTAGCCTAGCTGATACAAAATTTTCGGCCCAGTCAGCCTTTAGTCAATTATTTTAATTTTAGTAAAATTATTTTAGTAATATGTACATATACAATATTATTTTATTAATTTTTATTAAACACCAAATAAAATATTACTTTTAAAAAAATTTTTATTACATCAATTCTCTAATGTTATAATATCATTTAAACAAATGTATTTAAGAGATAATAAGAAAACATATTGA